TTTGGCTTTGATCTGAACTTTCGTTAATTTATGGTGAATTGTTTTCTCCCCCATAGGAAAGCATGGAGCTGTCAGATTTTGACAGGTCCATTGGTTCCTATGGGACGAAAAAAAAATTCACCATAAATTAACGAAAAGTCAGATCAAAGCCAAATCAGGTTTGCACATGACTTAGGGGGTCCTCTAACGAATCCCAGCATTTAGAACCGTTTTTGACCCTTCTAAGACACTTTTTAAATTGAAAAAAGAAACATCGTTAAGTGAAGCAGGGGACCTAAAATCGCATTCGTTATGCGAAGCATGGTCCCAAACTTCGCTAAGCGAAAATCGCCCATAGGAAACATCGTTATACGGTGCATATTATTTTCTAAAAAAACACATCGTCATGCGAATTCATCACTAAACGAGGCACTCGTTAAGCGAGGCACCACTGTACTCTAGTAGCATCTGTTCTTCTGCAGCCATCTTCTAGTGAGGGTGCCTGGTCTCCCTCTCCAGTGATGTTTGCTACAGAGTAGCAGCTTCTTGTTTCCTAGCTCACAGACTTTTCAGTTGTGTGTGGCAAATACTGTTACTGCACAAATTCACACAATCTTCAGAATGGAAGAATTGCTGCAAAAATTTGGGGGAGAGCAAGTTGAAGTTCAGCAGAGACATTTCCCAACAATTTTTGTTTGTCTTTTCTAGAGGAGTGAATGACAGTTATTCATTTATATGGGGTAGTGCTATATGTCCCATTTGGATAAAAACTAAACTTATATCTGGTAATTCTAGCCATTGATAACAACAAGCATCTTTGCCTTGAGTTGTTAATTCAGGGTTTTTTATTCAAGTATGAAAGAATGTTGAAGAAATAGAATGAGTTGTTGGGAACTGGCATAACATAAAAATACTTCTCTTGTAACTAGAAATATAAAATTTCAGAAAATTTCCATTGTCTCTAAAAAAAACAACACTTTTTCCCCGAAAAAAGGAAAATTTCTGAAATTTTACATCTCTATTTATAACAGACAAAACAGCATTTCATATACAGCTCTTTCTAACATTCTTATTTAACACCATTTATTTCAGCATTAGTTTTTCTCTTGTTGGATGTACCACAACAGTACTTAAAGTGGACCAGAAATCTTGAGTCTCAGAATGGCAGAAGTATGCCTCTTTTCCAAACGTTTTCATGTTAGCTATCTACATTAGTAGTGCAGTACTTGTGCTAGCTACCTCTTACGTTGCTGTTCTCCAGGGTTGTTTCTTTGAATATGGCGTTTTTAATGCATCGTCAAATTTCTAACTCTTTATTTGCCCTAATTATAGAGAAAGAGTATAAAAAGGATAGTATGTAAATTAAGAGTACAGAAGCCTACTCGTTCACAGCCTGACTCCTGACAGTCTCCTCTATGAATTTTTTCTCCTTGTTCTCCAAGACCAGAAGTATATTTTACCCAAAATAGGATGGTGTGGAAGTTATAGAATGGTGCTTTGTTTATCTGTAAAACCACAAAAAACTGGCATACATCCTTGTTGCAGACATCCTTGTTTCACATAGCTGAAGCAGATTTTTGTTTAAAAGTAATTTCAATCTGATGTCACTGTTTTTTGTTTTTTGTTTTTTGCTAGTTCTGGCCTTTGAATGTGACAAACTTATTACTCAAGTTAGTATCCTAAGAATGATGAAAATATCTTTTATCTGATTAGTACTATAGATGCCTGTAAATGTAATTTATAAAGTAAAACAATAAAATGATTTTGATAATAGGACGCTTAGATATAAGGATATTGCATTTGTAATGTAGCTTTTGAAAGCATCTTCCAGGTGAAGATTTATATGGACAAGTTAGAGTCCAAAGGCTTTTGTTGTCATCCCCTGGACCTTTGTGGATAGCATCTCCTTGACCTTCACCAGCAAAATATTTAGTCCCCAGAATGGCAAATCATGCCCCAGTATATTCTGAGAAGCTCTACTTTGTCTTCTAATGATATTCCATCTGCCCACCCCAGCCTGGGTCATTTTTTTCTCCCAGACTTTTACATAATATAGGAGACCAGTCTTAAGTTTTGTTCATAAAAGAGGGAGGGGTATACATTTTAAAAAATCATACCTATTAGATATCTGTCAGTATGAGTAATTTAGCATTTAAAGCTTAAGCATGCTGTAGTAATTTTTTCTTTCTTTCTTTTTTAGGTATAAATTAATCATCGTAAAGAACTGAACAATGGAACCAGATGTCATCCGAATGTACTCTTCTTCCCCTCCACCACTAGATAATGGAGCAGAGGAGGAGGAGGAGGAGGAGGAGGAATTTGGTGATTTTGGTGGGTTTTCTGGTGCTGGAAGTACCAGTGTAGGCTTTGACTTTGCATCAGATTATTCTGGTTCAAATGAAGAACATAAATCTTCATATAACTCTGATTACTCAGGCAATGTAGACAGCATTATAGCCTTTACTACTGTTCAATACACTAATGATAAAGAGAGTGTTACAGAACTTCCTAATTCTATTAAAGGACTTCCTGGCAGTAGTAGAGAAAACTGTGAGTGTAAAAGTTTTGATACATCATTTGATAAAGTCAGTCCTGTAGAAGTAAAGAGATCTGGGAAACTACAGTCATCAAATCCTGAAATTATTAGGACTGATATGACAGTTCCAAGCCAGGACCAGCAAGTAGACAGCTGTAATGGTGAAAAGCAACCATGTCCAGAAGTTCTAACAAATGGATTTGTAGCACCAGACACAGCAAATTCTCAGGGAGTTGAAGATCTGGACAGTGTCAGTGACTCAAAGGGATTAGATACAATTAGCACTCATAGTACTGAATTGAATTTGGATTCTATAGCCAGCACAGCAGAGGATTTTGCAGACTTTGCCACATTCTCTTATAAACAAACAACCCAGGTAGAAGAAACAGGAAATAAAATATGCAAAAATTCTAGTGAAAGAGAAGTACTAAGTGTACAGGAAAATAATATTATAAATAGAGCTGGAGGGAGGGAATCAATGAAGGAAGCAACTTTGGATGGAATTTGTGAATATGAAGGAGAAAATTCTACTGAAGGTGAACGGATCAGCATTTCAAACATTAATTTAGTAATAGTTGATGACTTCAAAGCTACGGAAGACTGTACAGCATTGGAACACAACATTGCCTCTTCCATAAAAACAAATGTGAATTCACTAGGCACAACGGAAAGCTTTGAAACAAAAGGAGAAAGTGACACTGGAAATAGCAAAGAACATATTGTTTCTTGGACCAATGATACTACAAAGACATTAAACTTTAATATTAGTAGAGTTCACCGCCTTAGCAGTCTTCCAACAGAAGAAAAGGTACATGTTTCTGAAACAATTAAAAATGGTGAAAGTGGCACTGGACATAAATCATGTAGTGGATCAAGTGAAGATGATTTTGGTGACTTTGGCACAGTCAGTAATGGTTCTCCTGTATTTGCTGATGGTGCTCAATCCTCTGCACACCGGGAACATTTTCAAATCACAAATGACAGCATCAGTAAACTCAATAATGAATGTGGTGACTTCACAGACAGAAGTGACACAAATCAGCAGTCAACAGAGGTAGAGCTCCCTCAGCCTAATGTAATTCCAAGCACCTCACTGAAAGAGTATCTAACATCTTCTGTTCATTCTAGTATGAATATGCCATCTCCTGCAAAACTGGAGAATGGAGATGACAGTGAGTTTGGAGACTTTGGTTCAATATCTAAAAGGTTTCCAGACTCAGACGACTTCTCGGACTTCAGTTCTGCTGGTTGCAATCAAGCTATAGAGTGGAATGCTTTTGAGGCTGAGCAAAAAGAGGGCTGCACATGGGCCGCATTTGATGAACAACCTGTGGTGGAATCTCATCCCGAAAGAGATATATGGCCCTTGCATAGGACAGACGCAACTTCTGTTGCTGAAGGTTCAGTGACTCAAAATATTTGTATAACATCTTTGCATGGAACTGGCAGCGGGCAATTGCACGAATCACCAGCTTCAGCTCGGGTAATTATTATAGTCTGCTTTTGATGGTAGAAATGTTTTATACTGTGCTTTATTGGGATGAGTATACTGTACATTTAGAGTATTTATCTTGTTGCTCTTGCCACCTGTGAAATTTGCCCTTTTTCCACTTGTATCAGTGGAACTTCTTTGAAGGTTCTTACCTTGGATCTACCAATTATGTTCAGACATATCAGTAAAAAGTTATTTCTACTCCCTAACAGGATTGTAGTAAAAATAATGTGAAGCTTATGCAAAATGTCTTCCCATTTCTTATGTATGTAACAGCTTGCCTTCCACAGAATGAAGAAGGGCTAGAAACACAGGTGGCATTGTTCGCCATATGTTTCAGTCCCTGCAGATCTTTTTTTTTAGTTGCCTGAAACAGAGTCACCATTTGTTTTCAAAGCCATAGTTTAAAACAGTGGTTCTTAACCTTTGTTACTCAGATGTTTTTGAACTGCAACTCCCAGAAACCCCAGCCAGCACAGTTGGTGGTGAAGGAGTTGCAGTCCAAAATTCCTGAGTAACCCAAGGTTAAGAACCAGTGGTTTAAAAGACACGTATTTCCTTCTCTCCCATGGAAATCCATTCTATATTTCTTCCTTTCCTACAGTAATTCCACTATGTATACACGTCTATTATTAATAATAATCCTCCAGAAGACAGAATAAAGGGAATTTATTTTCATATGGGAAGTGGAGAAAAGTGGATGCCGTTCTGTCCCTCCAGCACTGCCTGGAGACTGTACTGGAATGGATGCAGTCGAATGGGTTGAGGCTGAACCCGGACAAGACGGAGGTCTTGAGAGTGGGTGGTCCTCCCGTCAGCGGTATAGGTAACTCCCTTTCTTTTGGGGGGACAACCCTTGCCGCAAAGAATGAGGTTCGCAGCTTGGGGGTACATCTGGATCTGGCACTTACCATGGAAACCCAGGTGACGTCTGTGGTCCGCTTTGCCTATTTTCATCTATGGCGGATTGCCCAGCTGCGTCCTTATCTTGATCGGGGGGCCCTCACTACTCTAGTACATGGGCTCGTAATCTCGAGATTAGACCATTGTAGCGCACTCTACGTGGGGCTGCCTTTGAGGCTGATGCAGAAATTTCAGATGGTCCAGAATGCGGCAGCCAGGCTACTTAGTGGGGTGAGAAAACACCAACACATCTCCCCCACTCTGGCTGCTTTGCACTGGTTG